GGTTCAAACCGACCTTGTGGTTCAGTGCTTTATCCTACAGTGCCACACCAGGAGTCCTAAAGCACTGGACGGTGAACCACAAGGTCAGCAATTCAAATCCACCAGCCTCTCCTCAGAAAACCTATACAGGGTCGCTATGAGTTGGAACTGACTCAATGGCACTAACAACAGCTCTCTATATATTTGTTGTTAGGTGCCGTCAGATCAGCTCCCACCCATAGCGACCCTGTATAGGGTTTCCGAGTAACTGGTGGGCTTAAACTGCAGACTTTGTGGTTCAGACTGACTTTGCAGTCCAATGCATTAACTCATAGCACCACACACACACAGAGATGTGTGTGTGCGTGTGTGTGTATGGAGCTTGGTGTGGCACTGTGGGTTAATGTGCCAGACTGTAACGCCATTTGAACTGCAAGGTTGCCAGTTCAAGCTTACCAGCTGCTCCTCGGAAACCCTCGAGTCGGTTCCGACTTATAATGACCCTGCACAGGGTTTCCGAGGCTGCAAATCTTTACAGGAGTAGAAAGCCTCATCTTTCTCCCACAGAACAGCTGGTAGTTTCAAACTGCTGACCCCAAGGTTCACAGCCCGATTCATAACCACTACGTTACTAGAGCTCCATATATATATGAATGAAATCTCCTAGTCTAGGAGGCTGGAAGCTAGCACTCCTACTCCTATGAGTAGAACGAATGTTGTGTCACAGGTATGTCTCTACCCACCCCCACAAGTACTGAATTGCTGTTTGTCTCTATATCCAGGAACCATGTAACCCACTGTCTGTCATCACTGCCCACTTCCCCCCTCTCAGGCAGATTATCTAAAGAGATTCAGTGTGCAAACATCTAAAACAAACCCAAATGAGATTTTCTAGCCCCCAATCACCCTCTTGAAGTTTGGCAGGAGGAAAGGGAGAGAAAGAAAAAGGGTCTTTGTGCCTGTGGCTCAGTCCTGAGACACGGCTTCCCTGGCAGCGTCTGTGTGTGGGCTAGGCCAGTATGTGGGGGAAAGGTGAGGGCTCACAGAACCTTTCTTCACATGCCAAGATGGCCACTGAGTTTAAGGCACGCTTGGGCCTCAGGACTGAGATCAAAGGGGTATTCTTCACTTTCAAATTTGAAATTGAAAAGTATATTCGAGATCTTTTACTATAAGCCCATCCACAGCACGAGAATCTGTAGAAATCCCAGGCTACAAACAATATGCTTTATCACCCATGTATAAACTTAAATAAGGAGCTGTGGTAATGTGGTGGTTACGAATCAGGCTGCGAACCTTAAGGTCTGCAGTTCAAAACTACTAGCTGTTCCGCTGGAGAAAGAAGCTTTCTACTCCTGTAAAGATTTACAGCCTCAGAAACCCTGCACAGGGTCGTTATGGGTCGGAATCGACTCGACGGCACTAAACAACAACAATAAACTTAAATAATGGACCCTGCGCCTTACAGGCCTCTGTTACTTCATCTGTCAACTGAGGGTTGGATAAGATGAGAGGTGAAATTCCTTCTATTTTTCTGAGATGCTAGGCTGATGAAATGTATAACCTTTGTCACTCATTTTGATGTCACAGTAGGTGAAAAGGCTTAGCTTTGGAGTCAAGGAGAACTTAGTTTCAAATTTTAGAGCTGCAACTTTTAGCTGTACTCAGTTAACTTCTGTGAGCCATGGAGTAGTACTGGTAACACATAGTTCCTAGGGTTTTTGTGAGGATAGAATACGATAGATGTCAGAGATAGGGAGCCATCATATCAGTTGCCTTATGATGAATGACTAGCCCGGCACCAACTCTCTTAATACGATTACTTTTTAAACTAGTCACTTGGGACTCTTTTCTCTAGCAAATAGAATTTGCGTGTTTATTAAGTGTTACTTAAAGGGTTATATATAAAATAGGAATAACAGAACATTTAATTGTGCTTATGTGAAACCTTATTATAGACCAAGTTAGTTCAAACAGAAGAAGGAGATATGAGTGGTTTAAAATCAGGAAATGTGTGTGTCAGGATTGTTTACTTTCACTATATATATTCAATCTGTATGCGAGCAAATAATCTGAGAAGCTGAACTGTGTGAAGAAAGATGTAGCAGGATGGCTTATTAACAACCTGCAATAGGCAGATGATGTAACCTTGCTTACTGAAAACCAAGAGGACTTGAAGCACTTACTGATGAAGATCAGAGACTACAGCCTTCAGTATGGATTACACTTCAACATAAAACAAAAATTCTCACAACCGGACTAATATCCAAACAACATAATGGTAAATGGAGTAAGATTGAAGTTGTCAAGGAATTCATACTACTTGAATCCACAATCAAAGCTAATGGAAGCAATAATCAATGCTAATGGAAGCAAATCAAGTGATAAAGTAGAGGCCCAGTGAAAAACAGAAAGACCTTATCATTGGGCAAATCTGCTGCAAATGACTTCTTTAAAGTGTTAGCAACCAAAGATGTCACTGAAGACTAAGGTGTGCCTGATGCAAGCCATGGTATCTTCAATCATCTCATATGCATATGAAAGCTGGGATAGTAATTAAGGAAGACCAAAGAATAATAGGTGCATTTGAATTATGCTGTTGGTAAAGAATATTGAATATATCACAGACTGCAGAAAAAGGAACAAATCTATTTGAAAGAATTACAGCCAAAATGCTCTTTGGAAGTGAGGATGGTGAGACTTTGTCTCACATCCTTAGAACACGTTACCAGGAAGGACCAGTCCCTAGAGAAAGACATCATACTTGGTAAAGTGGAGGACCAGTGAAAAAGAAAGACCTTCAGTGAGATGGGTTGACACAGTGGCAGCAGCAGTGGACTCAAACATAGCAACAGTTGTGAGGATGGCACAGAACAGGGCAGTGTTTCATTCTGTTATATACACAGGGTTGCTATGAGTTGAAACTGACTGAGTGGCACCTAGCAACAACAATACATTTTGATACAAGGAACTCTGGTGATGCAGTGATTAAGTGCCCGGTTGCTAATCGAAATGGCAGTTCAAACCAAACCTACCCACTACTTTATGGGAGAAAGTTGTGGCAGTTTGCTTCCATAAAGATTACAGCCTTAGAAACCTTATGGAGAGGTGTTTTATGTTTTTTTTTTGTGGTTTTGTTTTTTTTTCACTCTGTCTTACAGGTTTACTATAAGCTAGAATCAATTTGCTGGCATCAACAGCAACAATTTAGATACACTGAACAGTGTATCTCAGAATATAAAACTGCAAATCTCAAGGAGACAAAGGGCAGATGAGCCTAACCTACTCACGTTATTAATTTGCTAAACATTTATTGATAGGAATTTGTAGACCAATCAGCCCTGGTGAGGAGCTGATGGTAGAGTGGGTAGATTTGACAGCTAAACAAACAGTTATAATGTAATAAGTGTGAAACAGCATCACATTGTGGTTAAACTCACCAAACAGGTATGTAAGGGAATAATAACACTAGAGAGGTATTCACTCCTCAGAATAATCAACCAGTTGGGCAGCATTTGCCCAAGGATAAAGTGTTGAAGGTTTAGGAAAGAAAGAGAAATGGAAACAGGAAATACAAGGAAGAAGTGAATAATAGTGAAAGAAGAAGAAGAAAAAGATTGTCTTCCATGGGTTGGTTCTACTCAGTTCTGTAGGGACACTATGAGTTGGAATGGACTTGATGGCACACAATAACAACATAAATACTGTTAAGGAATATTTGTTGTATGTCCAGGATGTGCAGAAAAGATGTTACTATAGAGTGGGAGTGACTCAGGATGTAGGCAAGTAAGGGATGCTTCACAGATGTGACATATGAGTTAGAATCTAAAGTTCTCCAAATGAGAGGAGTGGGGAAAGGATAGAACAGCACGTGCTAAGAACAGACGCAAGGAAATGCTTGATGCATTCGGAAAAGTTTAGAAATGTAGGGTAGGCCCAGCCTACAAGTGAAGAATCGCCTTTTAGATACTAAGATATGGAGCTGGACTGGTGTGGGGGTGGAAAGGAAGTGGGAGGTTATCTTCTACAAAATAATATCAAGCACCCTGTTATAAACGTTAGTTATTTACAGTTTTTGGTTTCTTTTAAATCTCTACTCATTTCAGGAAATAAGTGATCTAGAAGATATCATGGGTAGGTTCTCTAGAATTTTTGTCAGGAGCAAGTAAGGCAGAATTTCTAAGGTGGGGGGAAACTGCTGGCAACAGTACAGACAGTACCTGGATTATGAACCTTGCCCTTTAATGTTATGTAAATTTCATCTCATTTTGAAATGATTAAACCAACCTCTACTCAAAAAAAATTATCCATCACAATCAGCTTCACTTGCTGCACATGCAGCGTTTAAATCATTGAAAAGACTTCAAGCCTTTTCTTGCATAAAGTAAAGGCTAAGTAAGAAGTATATATATCCACTCCTACAAAAGCTCCAAATTGTTGAAGATCAAGTACTCTCATACATATCCCCGGGAGGCTGCCTGGAATAACATTCTGGGCCCCAAAAGCATGTCTTTCAGACTGACTGTCTTTTATTCTTGAGTAACTGTGGAAATTGTCCTAAATAACCAGATTGTGTAAAAGTAAGACTTTTTAGCTATATTCTGCAGGAAGAATAAGAAAGTCCATTTTGGTTAGAGATGATTAGGTAATGATAGCAGGTAAGTCACACAAGAAATAACTTCTTAGCACTTTTCTGTTATCTTTATTAAGGCAAATGATGCTTTGGTAGAGGGGGAATATGAGAATCCTCATGATTAAGATAGAATTGATAGGCATCTCTACAGGATTAGGTTGTGCCTTGAGTTGATCTCTTTTTGAGATATAAAATGAGAAAGAAGTGAACTGAGCGTCTTACCACAAAAATAGAAGAGCTGATAGTGGAGTGTGCCCTTTGGAGAAGGACATCATGCTTGATAAAGTGGAAGATCAGCAAAAAAGAGAAAGACCTCCCCCAAAGAGATGGGTTGACACAGTGGCAGCAGCAGTGGGCTCAAATGTAACTACAGTTGTGAAGAAGATGGTAAGGTACAAGACAGTTGTTCATCCTGTTGTGCACAGGGTCACTATGAGTCTGTATCGACTTGACACCATCTAACAACAAGCCTAGAAAACACGATGAGCATTTATGCTTTGTCACATGGGATCGCTATGAGTCACAATCAATTTGATGGCATCCAACAACAATACAATGTTACCACTAGTAGTATAATTGTAACCAGAGATAGGAATATTTTGGACAGATTTTACTTTCCCATTTTCAATTAGTATATTTACTAAATTAGCTTATGAAAGCTATCTTAGGTGCATTATAATTTATGGTTTTACTTACCAAAAGTAGAATTAGCATAGATACTTATGTTAGTAAATCCATTGACTAATTGTCAGTTACTTCTCATTGTTGGTTTTTTGGGAAGGAAATTAATTATCCAGTCATCTGTGTATTAGTTTGGATTGTAAAGCTAATTAACTTTCTCCTCATAGCCTCACCCTTATACTGACCTTGCTTTTCTCCGCAGGCTGCCTGTTCCCAAACTTGAAGACACTATTAGGAGATACCTCAGTGCACAGAAGCCCCTCTTGGATGATGACCAGTTCAGGTAAACACTGAGGACCCTGATGACCATAGTTCAAGAGAGGCAGGCAAGTAGTGGTAGACCAAGCCCCAATGACTATCTCTGATTTGATTGGATCTCTAGGAACTCAGGACTTTGTCTATGTGTACATGAGTTTAGAAAATAGGTTTTTCCTGCTTGGGAAGAGCAGACCAAGCCCTGAGGTGAGAGTCCCTTTAACTAGACTCACCAGGAGATGGTTTATAAGCTAGAATGCTAAATGTGAAAGCCTGGATAGATGTAACTGGAAGACTAGCTGGTATTGGTCATTTGCAAAGGGCATTTTCTCAAGGTAGGGAGGCCCATTGAGGAGACGATTGGCAGTCTAGAGTGTGAGCATGGAATTGGAAAGTGACATTGGATATTCTCAAATGAGGATTACATTAAGCTCTTATAGCCTCTTTTTCCACAATGGGAATTTCTTGTACAGATAAATAATCGGCCTGTCATTAGAATCACAGAAGCCTTCACTGGACAGTGAGAGGGAAACATAGAGTAACTGTTGATATCTAGCCCTCTGCTTTTAAATATCCCTCAGCAATCATTTCAAACTTCTTTTGATACGGCAGTGGATTCATAGCTGCGATGTTACATAAGTATTATGTTTCAGGCTATTCGTTTTATAATGTTTTTTAATTTTGTAAGGTGTTATTAGCTCTATTTTACTTGTAAAACAACTGAGACTCAGAGACATCGAGTAACTTGCCCAAACTTGTACAACTTGAAAATGATAAAGCTAGGATTCAGTGGCAGGTCTTTTTGACTCCAAAAATCATGCCTTTTTCTCCAGATCAGCTGTTTGGATTACAAATAGTTTTGTGATATGTTGATTGATCTTCCTGATCGATTATTTTAAGAAGATATTCTGGACTTTTCCACCTTAAGTTGATTCCTATTGTTTTGATTGGAGGGACCTTCCAGTCTTATTCCCAGGTTCTAGGGATATGCTGTTGGGAATCCAAAGCTTACTTTATGACTAGGTTCTTGGCCGTAGCCTAAAAATCAGGTATTCTCTGCCATGACTTAAGTCTGCCTTTCCTTGAACATTACAGGAAAACAGAACAGTTTTGCAAGAGTTTTGAAAATGGAAGTGGAAAAGAACTGCATGAGCAGCTCGTTGCTCAGGACAAGAAGAATAAACATACAAGCTACATTTCAGGTAGGCTGGGCTGTGGGTGAATGACCCTTGGTGGCACAGTGGGTTAAGTGTTAGACTGCTAACCGAAAGGTCAACCCACAAAGTTTGAACCCACCAGCCACTCCGCGGGAGAAAGTTGACACTGTCTGCTCCAGTAAAACTTTATAGTCTCAGAAACCTCGTGGAGCAGTCCTACTCTGTCCAGTAGAGTTGCTATGAGTCAGACTCACCTCCACAGCAGTAGGTGGACTGTGGGTATATTTTTTCCCAGAGTTCTTTATAATGGAAGTTCTTTTTTTTTTAATATATAATGGAAGTTCTTGCCTGTTTGGTCTCAATAATATTTTTGGTGAGATCAGCATTGAAGTAATATCTTAACCTCTCTTCTTAAGCAAGTAGAGCAAGTTCTTCCTCTAAGATATTGGCTGGAGTCCAGGCGCCAAAGAAATCACTTGCCTTCTCTGTAGGTAGATCAAGAACCTTCTTGTGATCAAGAACCTAATCAGTGTTTTCTCTGAAAAGGATACAGGGTTCAGTCCTATGCCCTGTGTGTATCATTGTAGGTCGTTCACAGGTGCCCAAGTGCCCTCTGCAGCCTATCCCCCCTCACTCTCCCTGACACACCTGATGCTTTAATAAAACTCAATTCCTCATTTTCCCTTGAACCCATTAGTCTTTCACTCTTCTCTGCCTTTATCCATGGTGTTTCCCATTGCCGTTTTTCACCGGGCAGATCTTTCCTTTAACACCCATGTAGGCTCATGTTTTATGAAAGTGTTCCCTCCCCATTCAGACTTGGTTGCTTCTTCTAGCCTCACAGTACTTCTTTTGATTTAGTGTATCTTTTTATTAATGTTTATGATCATTTAGGTTTTGTGTCAACTTGACTGGGCCAGGATATTCAGAGGTTTGGCAGTTAAGATGTAGTAATTCCCCATGATGAGATCTGTGGTGAGCAGCCAATCAATTGAAATGAAGCTTCCTTGGGAGTGTGTCCTGTTTCCAATATATTGGACACTCAGGAAAAGCTTGCTTGCTCTCTGCTGTGTCTGGATCTTGCATCTGGCTCATCCGCCAACGTCAGGAAGACCGAATCCCTGAAGAAGGGTATTATGATTGGTAAAGTGTGGAGGGTCAGCGAAAAAGAGGAAGACACCCATTGCCACAGTGGCAGCAGCAAGAGGCTCAAACATAACAATAATTGTCAGGATGGTGCAGGACGGGGCAGTATTTCAGTCTGTGGTACATAGGGGTCGCTATGAGTCAGAACCGACTCAACAGCATCTAACAACAAGCACAGATTCTTCATTCAGTGTTTAGCTTGAGAGCTTAGGAGAGAATCTAATCGTTTATTTGGTTGGTTCACTGAAGCATGGATTGCCCAGTGGCTTACAATTCATCAAGTTGAAGTATCAGACTTGCCTTGGTATATAGTAGAGGAAGGTATCCAAAGTCTTCAGGAAACTGGCATGTTAGAGTAGATTTACCAGGATAGCCCCATTAACCCCACACTTGGAGTGCCATACATCTTTTACCACAACAGTGAGAAACAAATTTGTGAAGGCAGCCTCTACTTGAAGACTCCTGTGATTGCTAATTTATGTAAGTCAGATTTGACAGTGGGAACTGCCCTCATTGAATTAAAGACATCTAATGCCCTAACTCATCTGTCAGTTTGTCATACTGTGTTAGCTTGTGTGTTGCTGTGATGCTAGAAGCCATGTCATCCGTATTTTAAATATCAGCAGGATCACCCATGGTAGACAGATTTCAGCGGAGCTTCCAAACTAGGAAGAAGGAGAGGGAAATCATTTCGGAATGGTTACCTACTGAAAACCTCATGAATAGCAGCAGTCAGATATAGCGCCAGAAGATGAGCTGCTCAGGTTGAAAGGCACTCAATGTCTGACTGGGGAAGAGCTGACTCCTCAAAGTGGCAGTTGTTGTTGTTGTTAGGTGCCATCGAGTCGGTACCGACTCATAACAAACCTATGCATGACAGAACGAAACACTACCCGGTTCTGGGCCAACCTCACGATTGTTGCCACGCTTGAGCCTGCTGATGCTGCCGCTTTGCCAATCCATCTTGCTGGGGTTTTTCCTCTTTTTCTCTGACCTTCCACCTTACCAAACTTCTCCAGCAACTGGTCCCTCCTCACATGTCCGAAGTAGGAGAGACGAAGTTTGACCATCCTGGCCTCCAAGGAGCACTCTGGCTGCACTTCTTCCAACACAGATCTGTTTGTTCTTTTGGCAACCCATGGCACTTTCAGTATTCTCCAACACCATAACTCAGAAGCATCAATAGTTGTTGTTAAATGCCGTCAAGTCATTTCTGACTCATCGCCACCGTAAGGACAATAGAAGGAAACCTCCCACCCTGCGTCATCCTGACAACTGCTGCTACACTTGAGTCCATTGTTGTTACCACTGTGCCCATCCATCTCGTTGGCAGTTTCCCTCTTTATCGCTGTCCCTCCATTTTACCAAGCGTGATGTCCTTCTTCAGGGACGGGTCCCTCCTGATAATACGTCCAAAATATGAGAGATGAGGTCTGGCCATCTTGGCTTCTAAGGAGCGTTCTAATTGTATTTCTTTCAAAACAGATTTGTTTGTTGACTTGCTTGCTCTGTGCTGGGTGTGGATCTTGCATCTGGCTATCCTTTGACCTCCAATTCTTTGGCTTTGAGTTATTGGCCTGCTTTATTACTTGCCAACCCTGGGCGTTATCAGCAGCCACCATCTTACCTGCTGGACCTGCCCGTATTCCTGCTGTCTGACCTGCAACTGC